AAATATGTGACCTTTAAGTTGGTCGGATGTAATAAAAGCCTTCCCACACTATAGCACACTGATCTTTCACACCACTATGGACCTCCTGGTGCCTTTTAAAACAGTCCACCTGTGCAAAACTCCTTCCACACAGAGAGCACAAGTAAGGCTTCTCACCTGAATGAACTCTCAAGTATCTCTTCAGTGCTGACGCTGTAATAAAATCCTTACCGCACTGATCATAGTTAAAAAACCTCACTGTGGAAGGACCAGCTTAAACCAGCATCCCAGCGTCAAAACATACCTAACCAGCATATGCTGTTTTTTTCAACAGGGTTATCTGTCCATATATTATTAGATGTAACAATGTTGTGACCTTAGTTTATTTTCAATAAAGAATAAGCATAAACCAACCTCTTTGTCCTTCATTAGGTTTCATACTGCAGGATTCTGAATCATGTTCTCACGGTTCTCTTCAATAAACGCTTATTTTTGCATATTTCAGTCCCTAGCCCATGAATATAGATCGCTGCTGATTTTTGTTCTTAAAACATTGGTAACAACATCGCTATAAATAGTCGCGGACAATATGCTCATGTTAAGTATCAAATTAATGACCGCTAATGTAGTTAGCAATATTGTTCTCACCGTTACTTCTAAACAGTTATCCCGTACGGAGCGATTTACGGGCGTCCTGGCATGCTATACCCAGATTGCACAGGTACGTCTGTCTGCAAGATGTCTGTAAAAGATCTCTTCATCTGGAAAGCATCTGCTGTGTACAAACATTTCATAGACGTCTTTAAGATGTCAGTTTTACATTCATTCTAAATCATTAACATCTTCTAAACGTCTATTTGACATTTGATAGGAAACAACCTGTAGACGTATTGCAGATGAACAAACACTAAAAAATACGTCTTGCAGATGTAATGCAGACGTCGAATAGAGGTCTCTGAGATGTATGTGTTAGGGTGACCATACGTGCCATTTTCCCAGGACGCGTCCTGGCCAGGATTTCTATATTGCCTAAAATATCTAGGTTTTGGCTTTGTTTGCGTGTGCAGACCGATCAGTGTATGACATCAAAATACCTTGAGAGCATTTTGAAAGCATAAGGAACCGTCTGTATGGTATTTTGATGTCATACACCGATTGGTCTTCACACAAAGCCAAAACCTAGATATTTTAGGCAATATAGAAATCCTGGCAAGGACGCGTCCTGGAAAAATGGCACGTATGTTCACCCTAGTATGTGTGCTATCAGGGTTCGCTCTGGTCTCTACTGTAACTGTCTTCAGCTCGCTTGTTGTTCATTTATCAAGTGTCTAAATTGTTTCTTATCTCAGAATGATTTCAGAGTTTCTCTAAAAGCTTTATATTGCAGGAACAGATCACCTGCTATGACTATGTGTAGAAAACTGGTAACTGATATTTTCATATGATTAATATATGCACTCAATAAATACAAACATATTCATCGATATTGAATATCTGTGTCAGGAACAGGAAACACTGCTGTAATCATATCAAACGTTTATTATAGAATAAAACAAAATAGAACATTAAGAGTGGATATGAACATCAAACATCAATCAAATATTCAAATTAAGATTCAAAATAACTAAGTTTAAAGTTCAGTATTTGAGGAAGACTGATTTTAAAAACCAGCAATCAAACATTCTGTTCAGCTCTCCTGGATCTGATGTCATAAACCAGAACAGCAGCAGCAGCGGCGGCAGCCACGCCCACCAGAGCAGTGACGACCAATCGGATCACAGCTTCAGTAGAACCACAAGCGTGGACAGAGTCTGAGAAATAAAAACATCAAACATGAGTTCAGTTCAGTCAATAATGTTAACTATCGGTTGCTGTTTTATTTGTCAGAAGTTTAATATACCCAGATTGCACAGGTACGTCCGCAAGACGTCTGTTAAAGATCGCTTCATCTGGAAAGCATCTGCTGTGTACAAACATCTGATAGACATCCCTAAGATGTCAGTTTTACATTCATTCTAAATCATAAACATCTTACCCTGATAGCACACGTACATCTTGGAGTCGTCTATGTGACGTCTGCATTACATCTGCAAGATGTATTTTTTAGAGTGTTTGCTCATCTGCAATACGTCTATAGGACGTTTGCTATCAGATGTCAAATAGATGTTTATAAGATGTTTATGATGTAAAACTGACATCTTAGAGATGTCTATAAGATGATTGTACACAGCAGATGCTTTCCAGATCAAGCGATCTTTAACAGACCTCTTGCAGACGTATCTGCTATCTGGGTAAAAACGATTAAAACATTACATTCCAGATTTATTTTTAACTTTCTATTTCAGATTGTTTGTAAAATGCTGTAATTTTAATCAGTCTTGGTTGCTCAATGTTTTTTTAAATGTTAAATTTTTACAAGGCTATATTGACCAAATAAATAAATACGTAGATATGAAATATTGATTTGACTTTATTTTAAGTTTTTACCTGTATATTCCACTTATAAGAACAGTCCATTCGAAAGTATAAAACAATCGGCTTAGCAAAAAGAAAGACAGGGCTACAATATCATCCACAAGCACATATGTCTGCAAGAGGTCTGTTAAAGATCGCTTCATCTGGAAAACATCTGCTGTGAACAAACATCTGATAGATGTCTTTAAGATGTCAGTTTTACATCATAAACATCTATTTGACATCTGATAGGAAACGTCCTATAGATGTATCGCAGATGAGCAAACACTCTAAAAAATAAGTCTAGCAGATGTTAATCAAATAGACGTCTCCGTGATGTACGTGTGCTATCAGGGTGAGACACAAAATGGTGCCAGATGCGTTTGTATGAAATTGAATCAAGAGAGCGCAAGTTCTCTGTGATATACAGCGTTGCTGTGGATGACAACGAATATAAGACAACACTTGAATGCAACTATTGGCCAATCAGAATTGAGTATTCCACAAAGCTGCGTAGTAAACACTAATATCAGCGCTGCTGTACCTGAACATGTGTGACAGAGTTGAGTGATGTCCAGATGTTGAGTCTGGTTGCTGATGGGATTGTTGAGCACACAGCTGTAGCTGTTTTTATCCTGATATTCCACCTCCAGAGGTAGAGAGAGACTGATGCTGAGATCAGACACACTGATGCTGGACAATAAACTGTTTCCTTTGTACCAGGAGAGAGTCACATGATCCACATTCACCACTGAACACACCAGTGAACATGATGATGATGATGATGATGAAGAAGAACAATCTCTGCTGATGACAGGACAAGGCAGACGAGCTGGAAACATGAGAGAATAAATGAACAGCAAGTAACTAGGAGGCTGTTTCGTTTTGAGTGAAATATTAGTATGCATCTTAATTATTTTCTCAAAATTTATAATGGATTCACATGTACCAGGTTCATACTGTCAAACAGAAAATTGCCATAGACTAATTACCAAATGAAAGACTATTTTAAAAAACATGAAAAATAAAGTTCACCAATGAATGTGTATGTTATCTTAAATGATTTGTTTTATATATGAAGCACAAATGACACTGTAATTGTGACTCACCATAGACAGTAACATTGAATCTGTGTGTGGTCAGTGTCATGCCATCGATTACTTGATAAAGTCCAGAGTGTGTGTTTCTGGTGTTTGTGATGGTCAGAGATCCAGTCTGATGATCCAGCTTCAGTCTGTCTCTGAATCTCCCGTCAGGACCATCATATGTAGAAAAGATTCCAGCCTGTTTATTGATTTGAGCGATACGAGCCTCTGGACGTCCAAATGTCCACATTATCACATCATGTGTCTGTATTTCAGTAACACCAGATTCTAGAGTGACTGAACCTCCCTCCATCACTGACACTGACGTCACTGCATCTGCATCAGCAAACACACCTGAAGAACAAACAGAAACACAGGGTTTGTCACAAAAGTAAACGAAAATGATAAAATCCAAACAAAACTGAGTCTTCGTGGTGATTTTGAATAAAACTAATTTACTGATGCAGGAACTGAAGACATCATCTCACACAGAAAACACTTTTACTGCAGATGAGAATCACGTCACAGCTGAGTTTTTCCATTACAATGCGCTACTTTTCCATATTTTTTCCAATGTCAGCTTTTACTGTGTCAACTTTTACACGCATAGCCGCTCATTAATACCAGTTCCAAAACAGTGGACCAATCAGAAGACCCCGGAGGCGGGGCATGCGTTGCAAGCTTTTGTTTACAGTAGGAAGTTGGCATGGCAACTGTAACGATAATGATACTTTTAAAGGCCAGTATTGTCGATGTCGATACCGATACCGATACAATAAAAAAAGTGTGAAGTGACATGTGGCCAAGTATAGTGACCCATACTCGGAATTAGTGCTCTGCATTTACCCATCCAAAGTGCACACACACAGCAGTGAACACACACAAATCGCGAACACACACCCGGAGCAGTGGGCAGCCATTTATGCTGCGGCGCCCGGGGAGCAGTTGGGGGTTCGGTGTCTTGCTCAAGGGCACCTCAGTCGTGGTATTGAAGAGAGAGAGCGCTGTACATTCCCTCCCACCACCTACAATCCCTGCCGGTACGAGACTCGAACCCACAACCTTTTGGGTTATGAGTCCGACTCTCTAACCATTAGGCCACGACTTCCTTCCCATTAGTATTTAAAAGACTTCCCAATACTACTAAACTGAACTTTTAAATGATGAAATATATGAGGGGCAGTCGTGGCCCCATACATGGCCACACATCACATCCTTTCCTCTCCTTTCCTTTTTTAAATTATTAAATTGCTAAGAGTAAAATGGGTAATGATACCCACTTAACTTTATATTTGAAATGCATTTTAACATTCAATATGCTTTAATTGCAACTTATTAGGTTATATTTATGTTACACATGGTTAAAATATGTTTACTGTACCATGGAAATCTACAAATACTATAGTTGAACTACGGTCACTTTAGTAAAACCATGGTTCATTTTCATAAGAGACTGCCAGTGAAAGGCTGTTGCATGCATAAAATGCAACGTTTTTATTCTGACAGTGTATGATTTATACCAACATTATAGGGTGACCATACGTCCTCTTTTCCCCGGACATGTCCTCTTTTTGGACCTACAAAAATGTGTCCGGCCGGGAATTCTTAATCGCCCAAAATCTCCGGGATTCAGCCGTTTTCTTAATCCCGCTCCCGCTGAATCTCTGACCACTGCCGCCTGCTCCCGCAACATGTGTTTCGCGATTTTTGTGTCCACTCCTTTAAACATTCTAATATTGTATATAATTTTGGTGCATTAAGGAGTATTTAAAAGTATAATATTAGTATTAGTATTTAAAAGAGATTTAAATCTCTTTTGAATGAGCGTTTACGCTGTTTACTCTCACTTTCGATTTCGCCATCACACTCACTCTGTGTAAAGGGAGCACATCTCACAAGATCAGATATTTGTCAGTGAGCTCAGGATCTGTTGAGCAGCAAATACTCCAGCATGGTCTTGTCAGTCATCTCTCCTTATTCTCGACCTGTGATCAGGCAAAGCTGACTCCGGTAGCTCTTGTTGGATGCAGGGTTGCCAAGTCCGCGTTTTTTCCACAGAATCGGGCTACTTTTAAACTGTTGCCCTGGGTTGATTTTCTTCCAAAGTGGGTTAAAGGTTTGAAATATTGCATAAATTACATTTGACTGGAATGATTGTATTGAACATGTTGCATTCTACCTATGATAGAACTTTCATGGACTTCTACATTAACTGTTCCCTCCTGGTGGAAAGACCTGCCCAGCTCTATCCAAGCAGCTGAGTCCTTAATATTTTCAAGAAACGGCTGAAAACACATCTCTTTTATCTTCATTTGACCCTCTAACTCTAGCACGCTCTATTCTAATGCTACTTCTAATTTTATCTCGTTTTTTTTTATTAAAAAACTTGACTAACATTTGCACTCTCTATTCTATTTCTATTCTAACTACTTGTTTTATTTATAAAGATAGGAGAGCCTCTAACGCTAACATTCTCTATTCTTTCTACTTATTTTTATTTTATTTATTATAAATAATGACATTCTTACACTTGCGTTATCTATTATTTTTCTGTTCTATTGACTTGTTTTATTTTTATTGAAATATTACCCTCTAACACTAGCATTCCCTATTCTTTTTCTATTCTTTCTACTTGTTTTCTTTTTATTTATTATAAAAACAAAAGCAAACAAACAAAAAAAAACCTTACTACATATACTGTTAGGTGAAGCCCCACCCACAAACCCCGCCCCCTACTGTCCTCTTTTTGAACAACTAAAATATGGTCACCCTAGAACACGATCAATATGAACTTTTAACGTTCAGTTTAAATAAATCTAATTGCACTATGTAGGCTACAAAAAAACACACCTTAGTATCGATATTTTTTGAGTATCGATACTTTCGATACTCGCATCAGTATCAATATCGATACTTCAGGATCGATACGCCCATCCCTACTATTGTTTCCATTATTGTATCAAAGCGTGTCTCGAGACCTTTGTGTTCTGTGCTGCGCTTTTTAAAAAGTACATTCCTGAGCACTATGTCCCCCGTTTTTAGACGCAAAGACGTGTTCTGTGTGGACGGCCCCTAATGCTGTTTTTGAGCTTTGTTGTTTTTACATATGGGACATTTAGAAATAACAAACACTAAATCGGAAGAATGAACTGTAGTCATAAAAACACATTTCAAACTCACCAACCAGATGCCACAAACACGAACAGAACCAAAATCTGTCCAACATCTTCAACGGGTTTAGTCCACAAATATGAAGAGACAAACAGTAATAAAACAGTTTCAGTAATAAAATGACAGATGCATTGATGTGAGGCTGCTCTGTAGTAAAGTGATGTGAAACTCATCTCGGCTAAAATAACTGCCTGTTTATTCTGTGTTGATGAGTGTGACCGTTTACCTATTTTTTGCTCATTTCACAACATGCGAACTTTACCTGCTTTGAGCTCCAGTACGCTTCAACTTCCTGCAGATCTGTTCAATGGCCTCGTTTTCAACAGAAATAAATTGACCCATAACATGATTACTGAATAGAGAAGTTAAAAGTGTGTGAAAGCAGCCGTTTCATCATGAGATCCTGAGAGTGTTTGGCTTGTTGTTCATTTCTTATCAAATGTCTCAAATGTTTCCCCTCTCAGTCTGATTTCAGTTTCTCTAATGTCTTTGTGTTGCAGGAACAAATCACCCGCTTGAACTGTGTTTAGAAAAGTGTTCTCATATTATTTTCATACTATTAAAGGGGTCATATGATGTTGCTAAAAATAACATTATGTTGTGTATTTGGTGTAATGAAATGTGTTTATGCGGTTTAAGGTTAAAAAAACACATTATTTTCCACATACTGTACATTATTGTTTCTCCTCTATGCCCCGCCTTTCTGAAACGTGTCGATTTTTATAAAGCTCATCGTCTGAAAAGCGAGGTGTGCTCTGATTGGCCAGCTATCCAGTGCGTTGTGATTGGCTGAATACCTCAAGCGTGTGACGGAAATGTTACGCCCCTCACCATACTGTGATGATGCCGTGTCCCGGCCGGAGCGACGAGACAAAAACATGAAAACCCATTATAAACGAGACATTCGTTGCATCCAGTGGGGACATAATTACTGATTATAATGACTTATACTGTCTTTTTACGCGTTG